TTTTTTGAATTATTTATTAATATAACAATATTAAAAAAATTGTAAAACACAATTTATTTCGTTAACATCTTAAAGAGAACTTTAAAATATATATATATTTTTTAAAAACATAAAATAAAAAGTGTTACTTTTTTTACAAACAAAATATTTCAATAAAATAATGTAGCATATTTATTTAAAAAATATTTTACTGTAGAATATTTAATTTGCATGCAACTTAAATAATAAAAATCAAAAAAATTAAATATTTTTTAAAATCATATCAATGAAAAATAAAAATCACTAATAATAATTTGAAATAGATTTTATTTTTAATTAAATCATCAAAATAATGTGTCATCCATATCATTTTATTAAAGCCACACAAGCAAAAAAAAGTCAAAAGGTTAACCGGTTTAAAAGGTTACAGGTTACCCATTGCTATAATGGGTAGATTTTTTAAAGTGCGATGTCTTAATAAAAAAACAAAAGTAAAACGTTATAATAAGAAAATTTATGAAAAGATGTAGCTATTTCATACATTTAACCCTAAAAATAAAAACAAAATTCATTATAAATTAATGTAATTTCCCCTTTAAAATATTAAAAATACTAATATTAATATTGGAATAGAGGTTCAACATCATCCAATAATAATAAGGGAAAAAAACAAACTCAATTTTAAATGGCTATGATTGAATCTGACTTCCTATCTTACTCCACCAATCCATGGATAGTGTGTGCATATGGCATACAAAACAGGTTTAAGAAAATTAAAAAAAAGTAGTTTACTGGCCAGTAAATGTTTACCCGGTAAGTGCTTAACGTTAGGAGGCAACACTATAATTTATTTTATTGGGTAAGATTGTAGTACATCAAAACGTATCTTATACAACAATTTACCTGGTAAGCGCTTACCCGGGTAAGAGTCGTCACCCTCATTTACCGGGTAAGACTTTCATCCTTATCATCGCTCTTACCGCATAAGATTCTTGTTCCTTGTCACGTTCATCTGGTGAGGAAAATTACCCGGTAAATACTTATCGGGTAAGCGTTCAGTAAACGGCCCCTTTAGCCAAATCTTTTGGCAACAAGTCCTTCAATGGAACCAGCCAATGTAAACATGGTTACAAGCAGGCAAAAAGTGCTATAAACCTGTAGAACAATCCACCTGCTGCTCCAACCTACAATCTTCTGCTGCACAATATACATCTCAACTGGGAAATATATGGTCAAGGGCCAGAAGATGATCGATCCTGAAAAAGCCAAGACTTCATTAAAGTACGGGAATAACATCCCTACCGCCATCGTCGATATCACATAAGTACTTCTAAAACATAACCTAAGAGGATTCACTCTAAACTTGGGCAATCCCAACACTTTCAAACTCCCGATATCACTTGTTAACGCGCTTTCTGGGAACTTTTCCGCATACCATCTTTCCGCAATTGCAAATAATGTCTGACTATATATCTAACAACATGTATACGATGAAAATGATAAGGATTAAGGACCAATAAGCATGGAGATTAAGAGTTTTAAACGAGTAAAACCAAGGTCATGCGATACCTGATACCCTCCAACTAAGTGGAGAACGATGCACGCATTACCAAAGTCTACGAGCCAATAAGGTTCATAAAATCCAAAACCAGTCAAGATATTCCCAGGAGTCGAATCTCCGAAGGCTGCGTAGCCAGAAGCTCCAGACAGGAGGTAGAAAGAAGTGGTTATAAAGATTGCAATAGTGCAAGTCCTCTTCATGGTCACTTTCTGAGATGGAGGTGATTTTAAAGTGCTCTACATATCATAAACATCAACACAATTTTGTTTGGTGCAACTACTTTGGGATAAAATACGAGATTTATTAGATAAAAGGAGATGTTATACCTGTATTTCAAGAAGAATTAACGAAAATGTGAACGAAAACGCAATATCTCCAATAGCTTGAGCAACCAACCATACTTTCTGAGTGGGATTAGCAGTTGAGATTCCATTGATGCTACCTTCAATCTTCCCTCGTCCTGCAATCCCATTTTCACTAAGCAACTTGATCCGATGCTACATAAAATTTGGTTCTTGTCTAACAGCAACGAAGATAAAAATTCCATACCTATTACTTGGGCTAATCCAAGTCCAATCCCAATAAAAGAATAGGTGAAGGACATGGTTGCAGCAATAATCGAGAGCCATTTTGTATGAAAAATATTGGGTATTTGAGAAGCAAGTAGTTGAACAATTCCAAACAGAAGCATATAATATTTATTCTCGTATTCACAAGCAGCCTCATGCCCTTCTTCATGGTAACAATTTGATTGCCTAATTGCTCTGTCACCCAGTCAGAAGGTTCAAAGACGAGCAATGTTATAGTCAAGATTTCACCAAATCAAAGTAACAACAAAGTTGGTATACATCTATACTATCTTATAAACCAAATTTATCAAAAGTCTTAAAAACAATTTTTAATGCATAAAGTACTATACATTTATGCACAAAGTCTTAAAAGTCTTAAAAACAACTCATAATGCATTAAATACTACTACTTCATGCATTCAATCTTAAAATCTCTTAATATACAATTAAAATAACATATAGTACAAGTTATCAATGCACATTATTACTTTTTCCTTTCATGTTCTCAAGATACTTTTGACACCTTTCACTCATGCTTTCACCCTCTCATACCTCTATGTTTTCTCCCCATCCCCCAAGGTGAAATTCAAACTGATATTCATCATGAGTTATTAAAAGTTCTCTTATTCAATTGCTCTAGAACTCTCGGCCTCGCTCTCGATCTCTTGATTCTTTGCTCTTGGTGTAAATCGAATACATTTGTGGAGTCGTTTAAATATGTTGGATTTTAAATATATTGGATTTTAAACTGTCATACAATTTTTTTCATCGATAGAATGTAGTTGGAACCCTAACTCTTATTTATTCAAATTGTATTAATATGTACAGACCAAGTCTAACTTATATCATCGTTAAATCTTCTCTAATAAAACCAGTGAAACTTCAAAATCGTTAAAATTCATGACTCCCGCGCAATACTAGTATACACACACACACACAAAGATCAAAGAGGAAATATTTTGGTTCATCTCAGAAACTGTTGCAACTAAAAATGGATATCATACGATAAATTGTAATTGCACATGTAAATCCAGCTCTTCAACGCTTGCAAATTTCTTAAGCAGCAAGAGTTAAAGTTCCATACTTGGATCTTATAATCTTCATTAAAGTTCTACAGTAGCTAAGAGAGAAATGGTAGAAAAGTTAGCATACCTTATGCAGGTTGCAGATGTGATTACATACACAACTCCTGTTTTGAATAGACTGAAATATACCAAACACCCACATACCAATCCGTTCTTATATCCTGGGATCCAAAGTACAGATGGAGATATAAGCAAGATGCAAAGGGATGCTTATGAGCCTGAAGTATTAGAATAATCCTACTACCTCACCCAAAATGGTGTGAACAGCCTGCAAGAAGGAACGGTTCATGGTGGTGTTGCCATTGGTAGGGTTGGGATAAACATGGAAGTTGCTGATAAGGAACGCAGACACAAGGGCGAAGAATGCAATGAGTATGATAGACAATGGGCCAGCAATCCATCCCAGTTGTGCGATGCTCCAAGCCATTGATAAAACCCCTGATCCTATTACTCCAGCTATAAAATGTGCTAGGGCTGTCCATATGTTCCCTCCAATCAACAACAAAAATTGAAACCCTAAATCTCATAATGAAATTCGAAGTGTAGGAAGTGAAATCAGACGAAACTTGGAAGCAAAACGGTGTTTCAATAGGAAATCTCCAGTTCCAATTTTACCAAACACCAGAGCTGGAACATCCCAAATCGCATCAGCTATTGATGGATTTATATTTGATTTTTAGTTGGTTTCTGAGTTTGAAAGTTCAAAGCTAGAAATGGAGTACGAGAAAGAAGAGGTAAAGTAGAGGAAACCTTTAAGGATTTGATGTGAAGTCTGCAACAATGGTGACTCTTCTTCTTCCTGATTACAGTCTACTCTAGCCATTTTTCCTCGATTCTCCCTTGTTGTATGAGATAAAAGGGGTGTTTGGGATTCTCTAAAATAATTAAAGAGATTTTATTATTAATTATAGTATTTGAATATTCTGTAATTTTATTATCTCAATATTGTTTTTAATATATACTAGGAGGTACTCGTGCAATGCATCGAGATATATCTCGATTTTAATATTTTATTTTATTTTTTCTCTATGTCAATATAATACAATTTTATATGGTTTGAGAAAACGATAATGTTTTTACTTTTGAATAAGATATAAATTTGAAAATATCATAAAATTTTGAAAAAATATATATCAATATTAGTATCAAATTAACTACTTAAAGTTCTAATTTTTTGTAATTTCTTTAATTCAAAATTTTTATTATAATTTAATTTAACGTAACGAAGTAATTTAATTTAGGTTTAATAATATAATTTTTCACAAAAATAATCATTAAGTATTTTGTTAGAACTCAATGATTATCTTAATTATATTTAAGATTTTTTATATTTAAAATGAGATGTTTATCTTGTATTTGATTATCTTTATTTGCAGTTAGTTACACGAATTCAAAGATATAGCTTTAATAAGTTGTACTTACGCACAACTTACTTGTAATCTTGAATATTAAGTAATATGCATTAATAAACAGTACTTCGTGCATAAAAAATGGTTTTTAAGAGTTTTTTGTCAAATGCTTTATAATATAGTATAGATATATAAAATGATATTAATTCAATCTTCATTGATAGGATGAATAAAAAAACTCATTTATTTCCTTTTTCTTTTGATTTTAGAGAATTATTTTTATTTTTATTTGCAATTTTCTCAATTATTCTCTATTTTATAGAATGAGACAGGAATTTGTTAGAGCATTATAGCATCTTCAATATCTTCTCTAAAATAAATTACAATCAATTCCAACAAATTTTTTATTTTTAGAGATTTTATCATTAATTACATTATTTATATATTTTATGATTTCGATGCATTTAAAAAAAATATATACATATATAAAATGATATTAATTCAAAATTATAATTAATTTAAAACAAGGATCATACTTGAATTTAATCATAGTCTCTATTGAAAAACAGAATTACGAATTAACGCATATAATATGAATCTTTTGTTTGAATAAGGTTCGAGATTTACAACACGATCGATCACACTACAATCTTAATCGAACCTATATTTGTTCGATGGATACAATCTGCTTACGATAAAACTTCGTTACTGATATGAAAATAATGGGTTTCTACTTCTTCACACTTCAATCTTGATGTCCCATAAATACAACTCCTTCTCTGGAACACTCACTTTTACACTAATCAACCCACTTTTCTCTTCATACCCAAACTCGATTTCTTTCGAGTCCATCGTCACCCGTTTCGGTCTTTTCGTCGAATATGCTCCAAACACACCACACCCTCGAACCTTCATCCACACGCTTCCTTCTTTCTCCATCTCGTACTTTACTTCCATGACCGCGCCCCCAGAGTTGAACATTTCAGTCAAACCAATAGGAGCAAAACTAACCCCACCCGACAATTTCTTGACAGGAACTACCGTAAACACCTCATATTCTCTAGATATCAATGTTACTGGGATAGATGCATTCTTTGGAAGGTAAACCAATTCTCCTGCAAAATAAAAAATAAAAAGTGATTGTTAAGGGGGCTATATGTACTCGTCTAGCCCCCTCCAAGACAAACTGTGTCTTTCTAGCCTCTCTGTTGGATGGGGCATGTTAGAGTCCCGCGTGAGCTAGACTTGGACCATTTCTCTTTTATATACGCTGGAAGCTCCTTCTCTCCTTAATGACTGTTTTCGAGAGTAATTTAATCGGATTCCACATACTGATCTGTCATAATCCGCAAGGAAATAAACCAAGTTTTTCTTTTTATTCATGTAAACATACCGCCAAGATGACTGTATACAACGGCATCTCCATCCCAAGTAGAATCTGCAACTCGAGGCAAGTAGTTGACATCTTTAGCTCGGATGAAGCCAGTGATGGTCGCTGGTTGCTCGTCGTGGGTGAGGATCTCTTTTCCATCCTTACACCACCCTGCTCCCTGGCAGTTGAAAACTCCCACCACCCCACTGAAATTGTTTAGATTCCAGATTTTCAAAAGACTGCAAGAACATCCATCAAGAGATGTTACAACATGAAACATTGTCTTGAAAGAAATAGAGAACAGACCATCATAATGTTGTAATATGTGACAGATAACCTTGTTCCATCTCTAGTGGGATCAGTAAATAAACAATCTCTTGATGGCCTCCCTGGAAGTTTGGCCCTTAATATGGATCCATCAGGAAGAACAAGCTTCTTCAACAAATTGAAGTCATGATGTCCAGGCTTGTCACTGCATTGTGTTATATACTTATATGAATATGTACTAAACTAATGTTAAAACTGAAAAAGAAAGTGAATGACTGCAAACTCCCACCTGACGTAAATAGCACAGCCGCCCACAGCACGAGCAGCACCATGGTATTCCGCCATTGGATGTAAGCTCTATAATGTAAAATCAATACAAATTAGCTAAAAAGATCGATAACGAGTACATAAACACATTTCTGGCATGTTGGCTTACATGAAACATATCCCAATCGGGCTGCATGAACTCCCCAAGAAAGATAGTATTATAAGCAACAGAAGCAATATGGACCGTGTGTGAAGCTGTAACCCTCGGCCAGAAATCATCCGATGCCCTTATAACTGCTGTCTTCTTTGCACTTCATAAAGTTGCGTTTTGAAGTTTTCAACTCCTCTTAGTACCATCAATTTTCATATATACAATCACGATATGAAATGGGATTTTGATATTATTTACCTGTACAAACCATCTGTGTTGTGACTCATGCAAGAAATGATGCCATTATCAGGGAAGTTCCTAGAAACGGAAGCCTCCAATGCCTGATGGTACTTTCTGGCAAGTTTCACTCGACCACCATGGCCTGCTCCAAGTGTTTCAAGAATGTTTTGAACATCTACCTTGACACCATCAATACCAGCAGACACGAGATAAGAATGCAATTCATTATAGAAATTGAAAACTTTCTCAGGGTGCACAAGACCAAGCCCGTTTTCAGTAATGGCTTTCAAAGCACCACAATTTTCATTGGATTCAATTCCTGGAGATGAAACCGGGAAAGACAATTTGGAATCATAATGCTCCATTTCAGCCACTCCAGGTCTCACTCCACCCCAGTATCCAGTTATTGCATGCCAAACATAAACATACCTATAAGTACAATGGCATTAGAAATAATCAAACATCAAGGAATTTCTTAATAAGAAAGTTTTGATAGGATGTTTACTTCATGTTATGATGGTCTTTAATGTCTGTAACAATATGACCAAGTCCCATGGATGGATCCTCCACTCTGTGACCTTCTTTACCACCTTTCTGGAATTTGTGGTTCTCTTTTATATGCGTTAACCTATTTGCATAACTATACAAAAAGATAATTCTTGTTAGTATCTGAAAAATGTTGATGAAAAATATTTACACAGGGTAAAAATTGATGGTTTTAAGTACTCACTTAGCTGAATTATCAGCTTTAGCTTCAACACTACTGGGATCCATACCAACTGTTTGCCATCCATCATCAATGATAAGAAATTTTGGGGAAATTCCTCCTTTCTTGAAACTGTATTCATTATACCAATGGGTTAGTATCAATTATTCATAATCATTCTATCATTCACTAAAGATTCATTCGATTGACAAATGATAAGTGACCTACCTCTCAAGGCCTAGTTTGATACCTTCAGAAGTAACCTCAGTGTAGAAAGCATCCCATGTGCACCAGCCAAACCAATTTAACATGTCTGGTATCTGAACAAATTATGATGCGTAAGAGAGTAATATTTATCGATTAATTACCTACAAAAGAGTCATCTTACGAAATCAACCAAAGTACCTTCTTTCTATCGCGATGAGAGAACGTCTGCAAATGCATCTCCACAGTCCTGTACCATTTTAAAATCTAATTAACTCCAAATCTTGATGTACATGGGCTTACAGTTTGATGAATCTAGGGTGTGCATGTGTTCTACTCATTGCATAAAAGGAATTAATTAAAAGGGGTGCATACTTGACTGCATTGGTGATAACATCAAAGGGGTCTGATCCAGCAGCAACAAAAACCAAATGACTCCCTTCAAAATCTTTCACAGCAGGATCTCCTACAAATTACAAGGAATCCATCATATCAATTATGAAGAACAACCTAAGCAAACCATTACAAAAATGATTATAGAATTCTTCCATACCACTCTCCAAGCAAATCTCCAACTCATTATTGGCATTTCCTTGTATAACAGCTCTAAAATCACCCTCAAGAATGGGCAAGAAGACAGTGTATAGAGCAGATTGGTGAGACCCATCGTCAACTTCATTATCTTCCCCAAAATGTGAACCATCACTGGTTTCAACTAAAAGGAATTGAGTCTCAGTGGGAATATCCTGACCAGATGTCCCCATTCTCTGTGTCATCCACCATAATTTGAAGCGAAACACACACATAAACCTCAATCCCCTGCATTTTGCACCCAATATTCCGATCAACAACTCTAGTTATCTGTTTAATTATCTAGCTACCAGTCCAACTGGAAATTCAAATAAATCTTACACTGTAAATTCAACCAAAACATGAACGATTTTTGGTAACTTAACAAACTAATTGAAGAACAACAAAGTGATAAAACTCACTCGAGTTTTCCGACGGGAAAGACTCTGCGGCTACCAGCCTGATCCGATCGAACCCCGATGAAGGCGCCATTGATGATCCCGTCACCGGTTGATGAAGTGACGAAAACATTGTCGTGGAGGTCAGTCAATAGAGGCTTCCCAAACACATTGAGGTTCCGATCAGCGACCGATATGCCTGCTCCGACCGTCATCTTCTCTGAATTGAAGCAGGAAGAAGAACACGACACCAATAATTTAAGGGAATCTATGAATATTGGTGGCAAAATCTTGAGTGATGTATTTATAGGTAAAAAGGTAACATATTACGTGCAAATTGCAATCACTCCATTGATATTTTGTCTCATTCGTGCATTATTTACATATCATTTTCCTATTTTTTTTATACATTCAAGGGGGTATAAGATTACTTACAAAAACAACTTAGGGGCTGTTTGTTTACCTCTGAATGATACCATTAAGACTTTAAGGTCTGATTCGGTCAGACATTTTCTTGTTTGGGTACGTTTTTAAAAAGGTCTGAATGAAAACTTTATATCTGATTCACTCCTTCACCCGCTAGCCCTCCATACGATTCAGATGCATATTTTTCCAGGTTTGCCCTCCCTTTTTCTCTAATCGTCCTTCTCTTCTTCTTCATCAGGCCATATTGGACGCTTCTTCTTCTTCATCTGTA